TTTCATGAGCCTCTCAGGCTTTAGCCAATGCAAGTTGGCTTTCTACAACCCCAAGTTGGGACTGTACTATTACTATCCCCATTACCCCATTTTATTTTCAGATGATATTGAGTAACTAGCCCAAAGTTACACTGTAAGTGGAGAGGTGGGATTCTGCTGCCTGCCAATTGGTCATGATAAAACTGGGTCCCAGCTGGGCCATCCACTTCCCACTCAACCTGGGGCAACTCGATACAATATAGTTTTCCAGCAGCTGAAAAGGAACGGCTCTACCCAGAAAGGGTCGATTTCTGCAAAGTTAGAAATCAGAGACAGATGTCACTCCCAACTTTTTGGAGCCCAGTGACTGTAGGAGAGAACGTAAACTCCACTGCATGAGAGTGAGGGCAGGATGGGGAAGGTAACTCCATCTCTTTCCCCAGATGGAAGCCTTGATTTGAAAATGACCCACTGCCCCAGGCACTGTCAAATCCAGACGGCTCCCTTTTAAATTTCCTACATCTGCAGCCATTAAAGAAGTTACCTCAAAATAAGCTAGAAGTTTATTAATCTGTTTTATGGAAGAGAGTCAGCCACTTCACATTATACCAAGATAGATTATGCAGGCAACTGAGAGATCCAGAAAACAGCTGCTAGACAAAATCAAAATAAATGGTAAACAGAATGCAATTCTTGATAGCTGAGGTTCTCCCAGATGCAGAGAACTATAAAGGGGCTATTAGAGGCAGCTGCCAATTACAAACTAATTCCAAGGGTTTTCAGAAAGTGAGGCTCTCCTTACACACTCGTGACTGGCAGATCATGTTTATTTAGGAGATGCACATTGCCTGGGAGCCAGAGCCACCCTGGTGCTATATGTGATTGTCACTCCCCTTTTTCTTTTTCCCTGAAGACAGCAGCATCCCTCCTCTCAGGTCTCCCTCACAGCCCTGCTGGAAGCCAGGCCAGCCTGGTCTGGACGGGAATACGTGAGTAAGCCATCGGGGGGTAATGCAACGTGACATTGGTGCCCACCCGAAAACTCAGCTTCTAATCACAGCACAATCACAGACATCTGGAATAGCTCGCAGATCACCCCATGCTCCTAAGAGATAGCTGACAAGGGCTGAATTATCCCGGCCACTTGCTCAGCTCACTCAAGTGTTCTTTCATGGCTGTAATTCAACATGATGGGATCAGTTAGAGAAAAGTACTGGTTTGAGCAGATGAATTCTGGCAGTCATAATCAGCACCAGCCCTCCGAGTGGACATGGGAGTGTCTTGGAGAGTGAGGTTGGCACCTTTTGCTGAAGCTTCAGAAAAAGCTGAAATTAAATTGCAGGTGTCTAGGGGGAGATATAAAAACAAGTGCACTGGAAAGCAGATGAAGCAGCAGCCAGCTCTCCTTCCCCAGGAAGCTAAGGTGAGTCCCAGGGCACAAGGACAACACAAAACTGCCCTGAAGGTGGAAGAGCTTCATCTAGCTGCAGAGGCGTATGTGTCCTTCCCAAAAGACATCCTACCAGTCTTGCAGTCCTGCCACAATCTCTGGTGCTACATCTCCTTCCAGGTTCCCCCGAGAGTCCTCACCACAATCTAACTTGGAAACGAAGCTCTCCTAGGAAGTTTTCTTCCAAGATCCTCCCTCAGATCTCTGGGCTTGGCAGTGGACATGTTAGTACAGAAGCCTCTGGATGTGATGAAGCAAGGACGACGAGTCATTAAAGCCATTGCCCCCATCAGAGAGAGGGTCAGTGCATCAGAGGGACATTGGTCCAAAGGAAGTCCTTGTTCTTACTAAAATTAGCATGGATAGGAAGGAAGAAGTGTCGTGTGCAAGGTGCTATCTGCTCTGCTCATGCCATGGGCTGCTGAGAGTCACGAGTTAGGAGGCTGGAAGTTAGAAATCCAGGTGTTGGCAGAGCATGCTCCCTCTGAAGGCTCTAGGGAAGAATCTTTCCTTGCTTCTTCCTGGCTTCTGGTGATTGCCAGCAATCCTTGGTGTTCTGGGCTTACAGACTCATCGCTCCAATCTCTGCCTGGATTATCACATGGCATCCTCCCTATGTGTCTGTGTTCAAACTTCTCTCTTATGATAAGGATAAAACACATTGGATTAGGGTCCACCCTAACCAGTATGATCTCATCTAAACTTGTCACACATTTGCCAAGACCCTACCTCTAAATAAGGTCACCTCTACCGGTCCTGGGTTAGGACTTCAACATAGCTTTTGCAAGGAAACCAATTCAACCCATAACACCAAGCCTCTATGAACAGGGACCACTTTCATCAACGCATCAACCGGGACTATCCAATGGATGTCCTCAGAACACTCTTTAAAAAATTTCTTTCTGGACCCAAAGTACTCAGTGCCTCACTCATATATCACTAGGCAGGATCAGAGTGAAAATAAAATGTACACAAAGCAAGTTGTAGCTTGCACTTAATTCAAGAAACAATTATCAAGCAACTACAGGCCCTGAGGTTGGGGCGTGAGGGATTTGGGGGTGGATGAGGGGAAGGTCACTGCCCTAACCTCTCAGATAAGGCAGGTCTAAGCTAAATGCTTCAAGAAAGAGAGTTGGCAGGGATGAGGGAGAAGAGGCATTGGACAATGATGAGGGACAAAGAGCATGCAGGCTGTAAGAACAGTGTGAGTAAGGTCAGAGGTGGGAAAGCTGGGTTATAGTCTGGGAACCACAATACCACTGGACCCATGGCTGGGATGAGTGCAGAGGGAACAAGGCAGACAGCAGGTCTAGGACACACAGTGCACTCACGTCACCCCACTATGAGTCAGCCTGGACTCTATTTCCACTGTTAATATTAACCCCTCAAACTTCTCACTTCACAGACTTTGTCATGTACTATGAAGTTGCAATTGGTCATCTAGTTGTAGCACTGAACCCTGGATGGGACTGATACTCCTGAGGGAGGTGTATATTAAAATAAAAAATAAAAAATAAAAAAACAGGAAAATATCTTAGGTTTTGTGGTCCAGAGTCTCTCCAACCTCTCCAGGATCTCTTGGGCTTGGTAAACTGAGCAAAAAATTTTCTCCTCTTTCGTTTCCAGGTCAAGTCAGAGCTAAAGAACCAACCTTAAATACTGGTGGCTAGACAATAAAATCTTATTTGTGTTTGTAAGAGTAATAATTTATTGAAATATTCACAGGGCCTCTATTATTTTCATACTCATACACTGCTCTCGAGGATGTTAACAGCCCCACTAACCAAGCCAGTAAATTTTCAGACACAAAAATACTTGTAACCAAACTGCAAGGTCCCACTCTTCCTCCCTGCCAGGTTATAAACACTGACATCAAGACACTGGGCTACTTCAGGAACTCTCAGAAACTCAACTTTGACAGAAACAAGCAAGAAAGACATCGGTTCGTAATAGGAAGAACAAAGTTTACATGATGTCAAGACAAATTTGCCAATACAAACTCAAAGCATATTCTCCCAGTCAGCCAGCTGTGAAAGCTCCTGCTTTGAGGAGCAAGGAAATATGGGTGAGGAGAGCACAGCCTGACCATGCCTTTGCTCATCCTCAGTATTCTAGGGATTTGGAGCCTGGAGTCCAATTAGACCTTTTTATGTCTTTGAGCAAAAATACACATGGTCCTCTCATACCCCCGTTTTACTATTTACATTTCTAGCACAAGGACAATAAGATTCCAAAACAGTTAAGATTTTATGTTACTCTTTAACACAAATTCATTCCAAACATTCACACTCAGGGGTACTGACATGAACAGAATATGAATAGAACAGTATTCAAAATAAAAGTTCATGCCAATTTCTCTCCTTGTGGGTATTTTTCTCCAATTTACATGGTCATCACGCTCATTGTGAACACAACTTTTAAGAAAAAACATGCCTCACTTGCCCCACCCAATTTCATTTAATTTTGATACCCAAACTATGTGATTTACCTCTGAATGCAATTCAGAGGACACTGAGTCCAAAACCAGAGACAATGGCAAATGGGAATGGAAGCCAGAAGTTCATCCTAGAGCCAGGTTAACCACATCCTTTGAGTCCATGGTTCCAGCACCACGGACAGCAGCAAATAACCTGTACAACCAATAGATAGCATGGAAAGTTCAGGTCTCTAAGCTCTAGAAACACATTTGAATAACATGGCCATTCTATGTCTTTTGTTGTTAAGAACTAATCAGGATGTTAGATTTATGAGTCAATATGAAATCTGCTCACTTTTTAAAGACTGCCACTCTTCAGAGACATTGCTGCAGAGAAGGATGTGGTTAAGGCCAAAATCAAAGGCCAGATCTTAGACCAAGAACTCACTTCAGTTTTGTACTTCATCCTCCCTTCCCTGCAATAAAGGGACTATTGGTGATAATTTCATAACTCACACAAAAGACATCCTCTTATTAGAGACTAGGTATTACCGCAAGCGAATAAGGGAAACTTCAATTTCCACTAAAAGGTTTCAGAAATTACCACCCATATATACTTACCTCAGAGACTAGAAAACAAATGTGCTAGAGGAACTCTAGTGAGGAAAATAGAACACAATGGAATTGTTTCAAAAGGGAGATTAATTGGTTAATTCTATTTCAGCTTAGCTAAAGCTGTAAAAATCTAATCAAAAATATTTTTTCACAGTGGCATCTTTTCCCATACATTGAAATGCCTCAAATCGGAAATCATTATTTTATTGTTGATGCTGTTTTTGTTGGGTGAAACTAAATGACATCAAACTTTGCTCAAAATGGGGCTTAATGTGAGAGACTGTACACATGCTCAGGAAGGAGCCAGTTCTCCAGACCCCACTTCTTGTACTTAAGGCAGAAGACATGTTCTCACAAGCAAACCTGGCTTTCACTTCTTGCAGTCCTTAGAAGCCAAGTGCCAGATGGTCAGCACCCAGAAAAGGCCACATGAAATTTGAGAACAGGCCACCCATAGTCTGAAGTTCATCTTAGCTTCAACAAAGTATTTCCAAGATATCAACACTGAGGATGAAATGGGTATGAATGCATTTTCCCTACCTTCTCTTCTTGTGACTTCGAAGCTTCTGGATTCCTGCAAGAAAATAAAGACTGTGATTTTGAAGAATAACTCATGTGCACAGATATCTGCAAACATCTCACCTCTTGTTAGCCGTTTATTCATGAACCATGTCATAAAAACATGACATTCATCAATGCTGGGTCTACTAAACTCTCTACTTATGTAGAGAGTTTATATATACAGATACGCACACACATCTGTAAATGTAAACAACTTGTTGCTTTGGAGGCTTAGAAAAAAAGAAAATATTGTTAACCATGCAGCTTGTAATGAGCAAAATCAATTCTCACAGTTTTCCTTATGCGGATTCTGGGTGGTGCCAAGTGTTAAGGAAGACCTCGTTCCAGAATGATGCCCCCACCCTCTACCTAGACTGCAGGTGTTCGTAGGGCCTGGAGTCAATGTGAGTAGACAAGGGCCAGAATTATCTGACCAGTAGCAGGTTCTGATTAGTGGTGCCATGATGAAGACCAGTATTGCTCCCATGTAGGTCACTGGTATGATCTGGTGATTGATTACACTCAACTTACTAATTTCCAAAGGATAGGATCTAACAGACAATATGGATAGCCAGTCCATGCCACTGATCAATTAAGCCCTCAGTTTTCTTTAATTTAATCTCATCTTCTTACTACATACAGGGCAATAATCAAAGTGTTTCAGAAGCTACATGGGTAAAACAGAGCACCTGCACTGAAGATATTCACAGTTGAACAGGAGGCTACAGAGCAAACACAAATTACTGAGAAATAAAAGGGTGATTTTTGCCTTGATAAATACCAGTCCATTCACAGTCAGGGGGGAATATAAGGAAAAGAGTTTTTTTAAAGAACTTTTCAAAATAGCCCTGAACAATGGGCAGGATTTCAGACAGGAATAAGGAAGGGAGGGTGCACCAGGAAGAGGGAATGGCTTAAGAAAAGATAGGGTACGAGAAGAGCACAGAGCACGCTTAGGGAGGAGGAAAAGGCCCAATGAGAAGTAACAGGGGGAAAAGATTGGAAACATTTATTTTAGTTTTATAACTAATAAAAAGTATCTACGATTCATCATAAATGACCAGTTGAGGATAAAAAGCCTAATATTGAGAGTGAGCTGAAAAATCTGTACTAGCAACTGAAGAAGAGATAAAACGCCAAACGTGGGCCAACCCTTCACCATCACAGCCAACAAGACCGTTCAGCACCTACAGTTTTTAAACAAATGACATTGCCTTTCCTACCTTAGCATCCTTGTCTAGCATCGTTTTGGGGTCAAGAGAAGGAGGCAATATTAGAGAGAAGACAGAGGAGGCATTGAGAAGTTTGTCCTCCCCAAATTACACTCTCTTACTGCCACCTCTGTAGCGAGTCAAAAGCCCGACTGGAGGCCAGTAGAAGATACATGTCATAGGCCAGCAGCCCATCAGCCTGGCACAATTAACCAAATGAGCTTCTGGAATGCTGGTTCCTGAAGGGTCACTCGCTGGCTCAGGGTTCAGAGGAGGGAGCATGGAGAGTGTTAAGTGCAGGGAGAGATATGAAAGCCATGAAGCACACCATGCACAAGGCAAATGCAATTCCTCCCACGCAGCTCCTCAGCTCCCTGCCTCAGGAAATAACGAGTGTTTGTGTAACAGGAACAATTCATAATCAAATTTTACAGCTCTAGAAAGAACTTTATGGAAGTTTGATTGCAACCGCATAAAATTTATAAATTAACTTAGAGAAAGCTAATATCTGTATAACATATCTTCTTATTTAACGACATGGTATTTTAAATAATTTGGGAATATATTTGCAATATATATGTATATGTGACAAAGCACTCATCTGGAATAGAGAAAATACTTTTGGCAAACACAAATACAAATAACCTAACTGAAAAATGAGCAAAAGACTCGAATAGGAACTTCCCAAGTTAAAAACACAATAAAATACTGCTATACATACACCCCGGGGGTTGGGGGGGGGGCACTGATAATACCAAATGTTTATGAAAATGTGGAGCAATTATAATTCTCACACTCTTAGAAGAAGGAGCACCAGCAGTACTCTCCTCACTGGTCTGAGCCTCAGGTTTACAGGGCTCCTTCCCCAGAGATGAGAGCTGCTTCCTGCAGTTACTGCTCTTGATTATCTCAGTGGTTCCTTTTGGGCTTTTTAACCCTTTAATATCTGTTTAGCCAATTCCCTATCTTAAATTCTATTAAAATAACTGCCATGATTTCTGTCTTTGTGACCCAACAATTCCTCTGCCAGGTAAATGTCTAACATGACTTCGTTCACATGAGCACCAAAACACATGTATGAGAATGCTGATCGCAGCATGATGGGTAATAGCCAAGGACGGGGAACAACCCAAATGTCCACTGACAGTAGAACGGATAAAGATTGGCATATCCATACAGCGTACAAGTGCGCAGTAATGCAGAACAGGCTCTGAAATGTGTAATAACTTGGATAAATCTTACAGATGTAATGTCGAGTGAGAGAAGGCAGATATGAAAGAATACAATTCATAGGGTTTTGTTTTTACAGATTTCAGAAACAAACAAAAGCAATATCTAGTGATAGACTGGCGATCACTTTTGGGAAAATAATGACCCGAGGAGCCACGAAAGTGGTTTTTGGGGTGCTGAGAATGTTCTAAATTATGATATTGCTGGTAGTTACATGTGTGTATTCACTTTGTAAAAATTCATTGAGTGCTACCCTGAAGATGTGTGCACTTTCCTATATATTTTATATGCTTCAGTATAAATTAAAAAATAAAATACCCAACAGTACATAAGAGAAGCTTGTTGAAGAGGGGGAATGGATCATACTCCCTAATTTACAGATGAGTAAGGTTCTACTGAGGGGAGAACCCTCAGTAGAACAGCTTGCTGAGTGTCTGTCACACGAATAGTAAATGGCCAAGTTGGGACTAGACTTAAGTCTCGGAAATCCTGCCACTACACTCTGCTGCCTCAAAGCTAATACTCAATGAATATTCATGAGACACATGACAGGGATTAAAAGTTGGGGCTCTGAAGTCGGATGGATCTGGACTGGATCTTGGCTCATTCCCGCCGGCTGTACCTCTGCCACCTTCACTGAGTGGTTCCACCTTCTTAAACCTCAGTTTGTTCATCTGTAAAATAAGGCAGTAATGGCATCTTCCACACAGAGTAGTTGTGATGGTTAAGGGAAATAATAAGCCTATAACATGCTGAGCACAGTGGTTGGCAAATAGCCATCCTCAAATGGTGGCTGTCATCAACACTATTGTTATTAATGAAGATAGCTAAGGGAGAGAAATAGCAAGATCATCTGCGGAAGGCAAATGAGTTCAATGGCTCCATCAAATATTGAGGCTAAAAATCTGTCATTCCAGTACCTGAAATTCAACCCCCCAAAATCTGTTACAGAACTATACAGGACAAAATTCACTGACATAAATGACACCAGGGCCCCAGGTGCATTGCCTAAGGAAAAAAATTATTTGTTGCAGAAGCTTCAAACCCAATGGCTATAAATGAGACTTAGCGCATGGGCATTATTTAATGACTAAATTTCTTTAACTAAAAATCTAATTTTATTATGGTATAAATCACACTTTCTTGAAGTAGGGAATTAATTTTAGATTTTTCATTCACTGTTCATAACCTTTCCATGAATTTGACAGCCAAATCATTTTAAATGTCATTTAACCAATACAATACAACAGCTTTATTCCTCATTGTGCTCTTCCTGAATCCATTATCTTCCACTATAATGTAGAAGAACTTAAGTAAAAAATTATCATTCCATAAAGCTGTATTTTACTGTGCAGTTGAACTGCATAATCTTTATTTTTGAATCAATATAATGTGAGTGCTGAGTAATATTTTTCATAATTCAAAAATCGATTACAGATTTTCAGCTACCAAAAAACAGTTTGAGAGTTGCTGAAAGAGTATGAATGAGGATCCTCAGATTCCATCCCTGCATCCCTCTCACTTCCGTTTTAGGTGTACTCCAAATTTTAGGCTGGGTGTGAGGCTCAGGAAAAAGTTGGTGGAGCCTGGCCACAGACCAGAATCACACGTCCTCATCCATGCATCCAGCCATCCTTGGTTGGAGGCTGTCTTAAGTCTGTACCTTCAAATTATACAAGATTCAGTGGCTTCTGGGAAAATGTTGGCTCAGTAGGTTAGAAAGAGAGGGGTTAAAAGCAACCACCATTAAAAAAAGAATGCCAGGAAAACAATAAGCTGAAAGGAGCTCAGTGTGGCCAGGTCTGTGTAGACAAAGCAGAGGTGAGCCTGGCACAGAAGGGGCACAACCTCCTGAGGTGGGCAGTTGCTGGCCTCAGCTCCTGCCAGTGTCCTGATGGTCAGCTCAGGACCACTGGTAACTCAGTCCAGCCTCAGAGAGGCATAGAATGCCCCTGCTTCAGAGCTCCCCAAGCCTCAAGTGCCTGAAGAAGCTACAAAGGAAGCCCATGTATTTGATTTATAAACCATTTGGTACAAGAGAGATGGAAGCTTTGCTTAACAGTACTAATCAATACTGACATTCTGACAACCAAATTCTAAGGTTTTCATAACTGAGATGCTCTTAAAACTAATGCTTCTTTAATAATCTTTCTTGCAATTTTTCATTCATTCATTTGAATTTTAAAAACTTGACTCTAACCACATTCATTTTTTGCTAGCAAGACACTATTCTACAATTAAAACCTTCACTTGGACTGACAGGATACAGCTAAATAGAGCAATGCCTTATTTGGCATGTATTCCATTACTGGCTCCCATTTACTAAGCACACACCAAGCATTTTGGACACTTTATCTCATTCGTATCATTCAGGTAAAGGCAGAAGGAAAATCTTCCTGTTGTTAGATTTTGCAGCACATCATGTCTGAGCCTTCAAAGCCAGATGAAGAGATGGTTAGGGGATTAACCCTACACTCAAGGGCTAGTTTGAGAGCCAAGTGAATAATCCTGCTATTAACGGGATGTTCAGGGGAGGTCGGGGAGAGGGCTCTGCTTCCTCCTATCACATGGA